CGGCAGCGGCCACAATGGCCGAGTGGAAGGATGGACTGAATGAGGCCTGGGCCGAGCTGCTGGAGCTCATGGGCACACGGGCCCAGCTGCTGGCCGCCTCTCGGGAGCTGCATAAGTTCTTCAGCGACGCCCGAGAGCTTCAGGGACAGATCGAGGAGAAGCGGAGGCGGCTGCCCCGCCTGACCGCCCCGCCTGAGCCCAGACCCAGTGCCAGCTCCATGCAGCGGACCCTTCGCGCCTTTGAGCATGACCTGCAGCTCCTCGTGTCCCAGGTGGGGCACCGATGGTGCGGGACTGCATGGCCGAGGGATGTGGGCAACAGAGCAGACAGAAATCAGGCTGTTGAGCAGGACAAAATTAGGCAGTGGAGCAGATAGAAAGCTGACCACAGAACAGGGAGAATTTGGATTATGGGGCAGATAGAAAATGGACTGATTGAAATCAAGTAGTGGCAGAAAAAGTGGTGCAGTTGGTCTGATAGAAATGTGACAATGTTTCCAAGAGAGATTAGGAAACTTCCTAAAACTGTGAAGTGAATCTTACCTAAATCCAACAATGGGTCTAAAGGGAATTGCGAGATAGCTAAGAGAAATTTGGCTGTGGGGCAGATAGAAATTAGACAGCCGGTCTCAGATAGAAATCATATGATTTTTCTGAAAGAAATTTGATGGAAAAGGTAACAGAGCTCATAGAAACCAGGCAGAGAGGGACTGGCTGCTTAGCTCAGTTGGTTAGAGCACACAGCCTTATAACACCAAGGTCACAGGTTTGGATCCCATACCAGCCAGTTGCCAAAACAAAACAAAACAAAAAAAAAGAGGAACCAGGAATTGGGAGGTGTACCTGAAAAATCAGATGGCAATGAAGCTGCAGGCTTAATAGAACTGAAGACACAGGGCTGAAGGAAATAGAGCTGCAGTTCTAATGGAAGGTAGAAATTGGATGATCATTTTTGTAAATCATATGGATAACTTAGAAATTGGGCTGAGAGATTGATAGCGATTAAGTGGCTGATGTGACAGAAATGGGGTGGTCACTCCAAAAGAAATCAGGTGATTGAACCAATGGAGAATGAACAGCACTCGCACAGCAGAACCAATAGAAATTGGGCAGGAGATTGTAATTGAATAGCCATTCTGAAGGAAAGTGTAGTACTAGTAGGTAGTGGGTCTGAAACAAATTGAAAAATATTGGACAGCATGTCTGATAGACATCAGAGTGGGAAAGGGTTTCCTGAAAGAAATCAGATCTCTCTGAAACAAGATAGAGGTGGGCCTGCCTGAAGAAGTAGGTAACAGACCCTAAAGAAATATAGCTCTCAGACCAGAAGAAATCAGGCAGTGGACTGAAAGAAACCTGGTAGTAGATCTAAAAGAAGTCAGAACGCAGGTAAGTCAAAGAGAAACCAGCCAGAGGATATAAGGGAAGCTGGGTTGTGGGATTACAGGGTGCAGGCTCCTCACCTCTTCAGGTTCTGCACTTGGTCAGCAGATGGGGGAAAGAGAGGGTGGAGCCTGGACCCTGTGGAGGGCTGTTGCCCACCTGGCATGCCCCTCAGGTGCGGCAGCTGCAGGAGGGGGCAGCCCAGCTGCGGACAGTGTATGCGGGCGAGCATGCTGAGGCCATCGCTAGCCGAGAGCAGGAGGTGCTGCAGGGCTGGAAGGAACTACTGACTGCCTGTGAGGACGCCCGCCTGCATGTCAGCTCTACAGCCGATGCCCTGCGCTTCCACAGCCAGGCCCGTGACCTGCTCTCCTGGATGGATGGCATCGCCGGCCAGATTGGGGCAGCCGACAAACCCAGGTGCCCCTCATCCCACCTTGGGCTTCCTACCTGCCTCTGGAAGTCTGCTCCAGCTCCTCCCATCCTATTGACAGTCCCCTTATAAAAGAAATCACAACAGCCAATACCTGTGTAGCACCTCTGTATGCCAGGCACCGTTCTAGATGCTTCACGTGTATTAAGACCCCTTGTCAGGCCTGGCATTGGGGGCTCAGAGCATGGGACACCCTCCTGCTCTCTGTCCTTCCCAATTACCCACTACTGCCCTCCCCATGGGGTTGTCACAGCATGGGCTGGGCTAGAGCCAGGATAGGGGCAGGGAAGGTGTGGGACTGTATGAGGCATCTTGTGTGTGTGTGTGTGGCCGGACAGTATGAGGGATCTCCAAAATGCTCATGGAAAGATTCATATTCTCTTTTAATTCTATTTTTCTACGAACTTGTTGAAGTACCCTCATATTTTTTAGGATGGGCGAACAACTATAACAAACATTTCCAGCATCTCAGTGGCTTAAGATAGTAGGCACTGATTTATTGCTCATATAGTGGTCTGATGTGATTGTCTAGCAGAAGCCTGTTGTTTGGTGATTGGGAACCAGGGTCCTCCTGTCACTTGGCCCTGTGTGTCATTTGCTAGACCCTCTTGCATCCAGCTGCAGAGGGGGGAAAGACAGCCAGGAGGTCACACACGAGGTTTTAGGGACTAAGCCTGCACTCACAGGCTGCTGGGCAAGTGGCCCAACCTGTCTGCCAGGAAGGCTAGAAATTTAGTCTGGCAGTATGCACAGAAAGAAAAGAACCCAGAGAGTGGTGGACACATGGCATTGCTTCTGTGATTGTGGGGCCTTGAGCCTACATTCATTTACTCAGCAAATGTTTATTGAATGCCTATTGTGTGCCAGATCGTGAACAAGACCAAGCCCTTGTCCTGAGACAGCTTACATTCTGAGAGTAGAGACAGGTAACAAATAAACCCCTAATATTTTTATCAGATAGTAATAAATGCTATCACGAAAAAATAAAGTGGGGCTGGCTGGTTAGCTCACTTGGTTAGAGCATGGTGCTGATAAGGCCAAGGTCAAGGGTTCAGATCCCTGTACGAGCCAGCTGCCAAAAAAAAAAATAAAGCGAGGTAAGGGAGGAGACAATAGCTGGCAAAGCCTCTCTGAGGATGTGAGATTTGAGTGGAGACCTGAATGAAGTGATGGCTGAGTAGGGTAAAGTTTTTGGGGAAGGGCTTTCCAGCTGGAAGAGTCAGCTAGTACAAAGGCCCTGAGGTGGACTGTAGTTCAATAGCTGGCAAAGCCTCTCTGAGGATGTGAGATTTGAGTGGAGACCTGAATGAAGTGATGGGTGAGTAGGGTAAAGTTTTGGGGGAAGGGCTTTCCAGCTGGAAGAGTCAGCTAGTACAAAGGCCCTGAGGTGGACTGTAGTTCGGCATGTTTGAGGGGGAGTGATGGAGTGAGTGAAGGGGAAGGGGAAGAGTGGTAGGAAGTGAGTGCAGAGGGGAAGTAGGGCCCTGGAAGCCACACGGGGTGAGGAGTGTGACTTTTCTCTGAGTAAGATGGGAGCCGTGGGAGAGTTTAGAGCAGGGAGTGATGTGATAGGACGTACTTTTGAGAAAGATTGCCCCAGATGCCTTGTGGAGAACAGACTGGGGTTGTTCACTTAACTTGAACAACCATGAACATTTGGCCAGTTTTGTTTCTTCTACACTCCCCCTCCCCCTCCACCCCTACTGAGTTATTTTAAAACAAATCTCAGACTTGATATAATTTCACAGTCTCTGAGTAAGATGGGAGCCGTGGGAGAGTTTAGAGCAGGGAGTGATGTGATAGGACGTACATTTGAGAAAGATTGCCCCAGATGCCTTGTGGAGAACAGACTGGGGTTGTTCACTTAACTTGAACAACCATCAACATTTGGCCAGTCTTGTTTCTTCTACACTCCCCCTCCCCCTCCACCCCTACTGAGTTATTTTAAAACAAATCTCAGACTTGATATAATTTCACACCGTAGTTTAAGTGTTCAGTCTTGACTGATGGATTGGTTTCAGGGGCTAAGGGAAAGAGGAA